GAGTTTTCCTTTGCATGTTTTAGATTCATCATGAGGTCAAATGGTCAGTCAGTTTTATTCCATGATCTCATGTTTTTGTTCATGTTCCTTTTAGAATTTTGTTTTTCTTATTGAATTGTATTAGTCATATGTTCAGAATTTATTGATTTTTTTGGTGTGGGTTAAAAATGATTTACTCTCTAGTCTACAGAATTATTGTCCCCTCTTGTGTAGGTATGTGCCTTTCCCATGGCCTTTCGAACATCGTCCACTGGATTTTACTTTCCCATGAAGTTATCAAATATTTCTCCCCTAAAATGTTTACAGATTTTTGTTCCTAATTAGTTTCCTCATAGCTTCTTTTGATTAATTATGGCATACTTTAAGGAAAGAGTTATGAGATGCAGGTTCCCAAAGTAGAAGCCGTGCAAACGGCTTCTGCACATGGAGGGAAAGTGGAGGAGTCAAGAGAAAGGGGCAACCTTTCCAGGATATACATAAGGACCACATGAGCTCATTCCTGATGTGTAATCTACGTGTGACTCTAACAAGAAAACTAATAAAGTTGATAACAAGTAGCCAGGATGAGTTTTTGATGTTCTGGGACAATCTAGGTAGTACCAATCACCTAATCAAGATTCAAAGTCACATAGAAAATGTTATTTAAATAAAACTATTATAGTTGACCCTTCAACAACTCAGGGGTTAGGGATGCTTATCCCCCTCACAGTCAAAAATTCATGGATAACATTTGACTCCCCCCAAACTTAACGATTAATCACTTATTGCTGACCTGAATCCTTACTGATTACATGGTCAACTAGCAATAGTCTTCTATGTGCAATGTATACTGCACCTACATAAAAGCTTCACTATCAATATGAGATTAAAAAAAACTATTTCACAAGAAGTGCAAGTTTTTTCAGTTGCTGGAAAATTTCCTCTTCTTTTTTTTACCACAATGATCCATAAATGTCTTTATTTATCTTAAAATGGTGGGCCACCACAGCTGTCACTGTCAATCTATGGTACATATTAAGAAATTAAACCGGTTATGTCATGACTTAACCTCTTGGGAGCCCTTGCAGCATCACCAATGCTACTATAGTACTCTTCTAAATATGAGAAATACATGAGCATCATGATGCTCACAATGCTTACAATGATTCCCGGTTGTTTCTGAGAGCCAACTGCTCACACAAAGATCATTATTGTCATGGCACGGCAGGCAATGCATGGAATTATTTAATATGGCTCTTCCAGCCATTGCCCTGTTCAACCTGTCTGCTGAGCAAATCATCAGGGTTGAAGCCTTCAGTATGATGAATTACACTACTCAATGTTAGGGAAGCCAAAACTGATCATAACTTGGCCAATAGGAAACACCATGATGAATGGAGGAAAGATTGAAGTTATCAAGGATTTTGTCTTGCTTGGACACAGTCAATGCCCGTGGAAACAGCGGTCAGGAGATCAAAAGACATGCTGCATTAGGCAGCTCTACCGCGCCAGACCTCTTGAGAGTACTGAAGAGCAAGGATGTTACTTTGAGGAGCAAGGTGCACCTGACCGAAGCCACGGTATTCTCCATTGCATCTATGCCTGTGGAGGTTGGACATTGAGTAAGGAAGACTGTGGAAGAATACATATATATTTGAATGGTGGTGCTGCAGAAGAATACTGAAAGCTAAATGCTAAAACAACAAACTAGTATGGGTTGGAAGCTTTAAGATCAGAGAGCTACTGAGAGGCCAGGATGGCAAGACTTCATCTTATATATTTTGGACCTATTTTCAGGAGAGACCAATCCCTGGAGAAAAAAACACCATTGTGTTTGATAAAGTGGAGGCTGGTGAAAACGAAAAGGGCCCTTGACGAGCTGCACTGACACAGTGGCTGCATCAATGGGCTCAGCTACAGGAACGGTTGCGAGGGTGGCGCAGGACTGTGCAGGGGGTTGTTCTGTGGTGCATAGGATCGCTGAGTCAGACCTGACTTGTTGGCACCTAAGAACATCCATGGCCCTAATTGCTCCCATTAAAGACCTTAATTGTCCTACTGCTCTGGGTTAGAAGAAGGTGGAAGATCCTGATTGGATTGTGTGATTCAGCTGTTTCCATCCTTCTGGATATAAAATCAGCCATCTCAGAAGCAGGAAGGGTGGATTTGATTACCAACAAGAGGGAAGAGTCAGGAGTGGAGTGCGTGCGTCCTTTGGATCCTGAGATCCGTCTGCATTGCATCTCTTTGATGCAGGAGACAGCCTTAACACCATAGGATTAGCCGAGGCCTATGGCAAAATGGCATGCCCTTTGGACATTTATTGGCAGTCCTAAGAGAGCTTTGTAATATTGCCCAAGCGGGGCAGAGGTCAGCCCAAGAGGCTGAGGGCCTGAAAGAGGCCTGTCTAAAAGCATAGCAGAAAAGAAACTGTCCTGACTTAACACCTATATCCTGAGTACTTTGCACCTGAATTGTAACTTGTTAACTTCTCTAGTAAATAGCATAATTGTGGGCATTGTCTAGCAGTTCTTTGTGGCCATAGCTATGAATTATTGAACATAGATTAAAAGTGGAATATTATGGGAGAGACTGTTGCTGTCAGAACTGAGTGAAAAGGGATGGACTATGGAGGCAAGTCTGACAACTGCCTTGTGGCAATTGGCCTTGGGAGCCAGAGGAGCCAGAGGAGCTATGGCCCCAATGTCATTTCCTCAGTCACATGACATTTTAAAAAATGTCTATGTATAAATGATCCCTTGCAGTTCCATCCCATGTTGTTCAAGGATGAACTGTATATAACACAAGAACTAGATCATCATGTGGTTTACAAAGCTTGCTAAGACCCAGAAATACACTGTCGAAAAGGAAAAGTGGAAGTCTCCAGCTATTTGAATGTAAGCATTTCATCACAGCAACAGCCTTCCTTCTAATTGATCTTATACCATTGCAGACTTTTGAGCTATAAAGACCTAGGCCCTGAAAGATGTAATTCTGACACTTTTAGAAAAATGGATATACTCTAGATTGGGATAATATGTTCACAACCTGACAAAGCACATATCGCGAATATCTGAAGAACTCCGCATTGACAATGAAAGACGATCGAATTCTGACCTGTGAAGGATCCGTGACATCAGGACCCGAGGAAGACTTGGTCATACGCTCGGATATGCAGATACCATCACCTTGCTTGCTGAAACTGCAGCAGACTTGAAAGACTTCCTGATGAAGATCAGAGACTACATATGGCCTTCATTCAAGAGGCTGCAAATCACAGCGACGATGACAAACCCCCACACCTAGCTCTGTCAGAGGAGGCAACATTGGAGTTCAAGGATTTCATCTCACTGTCAACAATTAAGTTCCCCCAGAGGCAGCAGTCAAGAAGTCTGCGACAAAGGGTCCCTTTCACAGGGTTATAATGCACAAACGTTGCTTTGGATGACTAAGGTGCACCTGACCCAAGCCAGGGTATTTTCAATGGCTGAAACCTGGACAATGAATAAGGAAGACCAAGGAAGAATGGACACATTTGGATTAGGGTGTTGGTGAAGAATGTTAAATATCCCATGGACTTCGAGAACAACAAACAAATCTGACGTGGAGAAACACAGGCAGAATCTCTTCAGAAACGAGGATGCAGATAGTCCATTTTGCTGACTTTAGGCATGTCATCCAATGGAAGCCATCTCTGAAGAGGACATCATGCCTGGTAAAGTAGTGAGTCAGCAAAAAAAGATGGCCCTCACTGAGAGAGCTAGACATGATAACTACAAGAATGGGCTCAAGCATAATAGCAACTGTGGGGATGGTGCAGGAAAGGGCAATGGTGTGTTCTACGGTGCATAGGAGCTCTGGTGGCATAGGGTTGACACATTGGGCTGCTAACTTCAAGGTCAGCAGTTCAAAACCACCTGCGACTCCTCAGGAGAAAGATGGTGCTTTCTACTCCCGTATAGAGTTACAGTCTTGGAAACTCCTAGGGGCAGTTCTGTCCTGTCCTATAGGGTTGCTCTGAGTCAGCATTGACTCGACGGCAGTGAGTTATTTATTTTCAGTTACACGTAGGATGAGAGCCTGGGTGCTGTAGGAGGTTAGTTTTGGGCTGCTAACTGTGAGGTCAGCAGTTTGAAATCACCAGCTGTTTCTGGGAGAAAGCTGAGTATTTCTGCTCCTGTAAAGATGTAGGGCCTCAGACACACCAAGGGGCAGTGCTACTCTGTCCCGTCGGGTCCCTGGATGTTGGCATTGACTCCATGGCAGTGAGTTTTTGTCGACTTGAGAGTTTCCCTTAATGGAAGCAACTCAAAACACCTAACAAGAATAATTTCCCCCCAAATGAGGAGCAGCCTTGAACACTTTATAAAAGAAGAATGTAAATTAAAACCATAGGTACTATTTCATGCCCACTCTGTTGTGTTAGGTGCTGTGAAATCATATTCACTAGAAAGCCTACTAAATACTAAAACACAAAATGCCAAATATTGGGGAGGATATGGGGAAACTGGAACTTGTGTTTATTACTAATGGACATAAAAATGGTATAACCACTTTGGAGAAATATTGGGCAGTTTCAATTAGGTGAAGCATACCCTTAACATATAACCCATCAATCTCACCAATTATCTATTTCTACCCCCAAATGGTACATTCACATAGTTTTCCCTTCTTCCATATCTTTATTTTACTACCTCTATGTTTCTTCCTTATTTTTTCACTTCCAATCATAAATAAATGATCCTAATTCATCTTAAAGAGAGTCGTTTCCTCCCCACACATTCTAGGAGGTTGACATGTTGACATAAAATAAAATGTATTTAGGATCAGATGTTTATTTTGCTGAGATAGATGACAAATATTTTCTGGACAGTTGTAAGTAAAAGTTATATTTCAAGGGTAACAATAAAAAGGGAGCATATGCCAATATAATAAGAAAGGCAATATTTAGGTTTAAATTTTTGTTTCATGTACAAATATTTCACAGTCCTTTGATCAATAGAAAGAAAATCACATCATAGTTGTCTGAAAAGTTCATTTATTATATACCAATGTACATTTTCTGTAATAAAAAAGCCTCCCAATGTATGGAACCATCTTATACATGAAATAAGAAAATGAAACGTTCATTGTTTACAAACAGGGTAAAATGAACCAGCACATGCGAGCATCTGCATGCCTGCCCTGCAGTGTGTGTGACCTCGAATTATGATGACAGCCGAGAGGAAAATGGTGTTTGCTGTTTGGCAACGTAGGATTGCTTTCGACTATTTATATAATTACACATGTTGACATTTTCAAGTTAGTCGTTTCAAAGGTAAAGCTCTTAAAATATATACAGCGTTTACAGTTTCTTGGATTAATTTTAGATATTTACATCTGTTCAGATTAAACATTTTTTTAAACACTCAATAGGTAACTTTCTCCACTTCCAACTATTTTGATACACTCTTTAGATGAATGAAAATGGATACGTGTGTTGAAAAGTTTTTTCTGGTAAAAATCACTCAAAAGTTATGCTTATTTCTAGTAATGCTCAATTTCTACAACAAAGTATACCATTTACAGAATTATGCTTCTTGGAAAGCATACAGAAAACAAATGAATATTCTCTTAGGCACATTTCAGATCACCTCTTAAAAGATGATTTCCTAAGACTCTGTCATCATAATTGGCTCTGCTAAAATCAAATATCCAACCAATGTTCGTGGTACCGATTGAAAAAGACAGCAACCTCTAAAATGTCTAGGCTGTAAGTATAGTTTTACAATCTGCTCTGTGTCGGTGTGTTATAGAAGGTGCTTTGGAGGTGCAGGGGTTCAAGGTCTTGGCTGCTAGTTTTCAAAGGTCAGCTGTTCAAGGAGCCAGCATATTTCTTCCATCTTCTAAAGCTGTCTGCTTCTGCCAGAGTTTACAACCTTGGAAACCGGATGAGGCAATTCTATAGGCCTATGGGGTTTGGGTGAGTCATAATCCACTAAACTACCGAGGTGAGTCAGAATGATCACGTGTGTGTTTTTGTAACGTGTGAACACTTACTTTTGTGGGGAATCCCTCGACGTTGTATTCACGGACAAGTGGATGCCAACAAACACCAGGCAAGGCCCAAATGCATGAACTCCTGTGGTAGACATGCTAACGTCAGAGGACAGAAAGCTGGCAGTACAGTCATTAGGGGCCGGCCTGCAACAGGAAGGCTTCAGTTGGAAACACCACCAGCATCCCCCTGGGAGAAAGACGGGCGGTCTAGTTCCCTGGAGATGAGAGCCTGGCAGTCCCAATAGGTCCATTCGGTAGCACTGGCTAAGTGAACGGAAAGGAGCCCTGGTGGCACAATGGTTGAGCGCTCAGCTGCTAAGCGGCTGTCTGCTTCCATAAAGAGGACAATGGAGACTCTTAGGAGGCAGCTGGATTCTGTCACCTGGGGTTGTTATGAATTGGAATCTACAAGACAGCAACCAACAACAAAGGAGGAGACCAGAGGTGGTATTGATAATCATCTGCCAATAAGGAGCTTCGTTTTTGTAGATGGTTGTATCATTGTAAACATTGAAGAGCATTACTGAATTACATGGAGTTTTGGCTTCCATTGTAAGATTTCCTTTTCAGTCTGATACATACAAATGGATGTTTGAGCCTACCGAGTTCAAAATTCCCTGCCCCCACCCTGATAAATGTTTGGCCATGAGGAGAACAAACTACACATGTAAAAAATGACAATATAATGTACCATACATAAAAATTCCGAGGACTACAGAATACGATTATATACATGAACACGTAGCAAATCACAGTTTCCTGCACTGAACGTTTTATCAAATAACAATATATCAAACAACACTGGGTAGTGTGTCTCCACATGAACTGTGGTGTGGCCTCCTAACACATCTGAAAGAGAATGGAAGACGAGAGGGCGACCATCGCTCAATGACAAGAGAAGTAGGGATGACATGTACATGAACGATGCTTTCAGAAAAGGCAGTTTAGCTACTAACCTTGGTTTTTCTTTCTTTTGGTTGTTGCTCTGTAATTTAAATCAAGCCCCTCTCTGATTAGTAAGATGTTTTAACATTTATTTTTAAATTAAAAAAAAAATCTGTTGAGTGAAGAAGTTGCTAATTCAATGTCAGCTAGGACAGACAGAATATTTCTAGGCTGTTGATAAATAATCGTAAGGTGCTGCAGACTAACAAGCATCTGATCATTCCTGCACCTTACAGGGGCAGCTCACCCAGTAGGGAGAGCTTTGCCCCCAGGGCATTTTGGTTATACAATGGATCTGAGGATGTGAGTTTGGGTACTTGTTGGGGGGAGAGGGTGGGGGGTGGCATCTAATGACCATCACAGGCTGCTGCCCTTGTCCTCCTTGAGCAGCCGCAGAAACACACCTTGACCGTGTCACACTGCTTTGGTGAAACCTGGGTAGAAATGTGCACAACAGATTTGTAACACACAGCCATTCTTGATAAAAACGATGGTTTTCTGTCACGCAGGAGCCTGGTCATGTTACTAGTAAACGTCTTTGGACTCTTCCTGTTATTTCTTATGAATAACATTCCAGTCAAGATCACTCAAATGTCTTTTGGAACATAACTTGTAGCCATTTCCAATGGGGGAAGGACTTTTGCCTCGGGTTAATGATGCTTGGTACTTGGAGGATTGTATATCCAGTCGATTATAATGAGTGCCATGCTTCCAATCATGAAAATGATTCCAATCACCAGGAAAATGAAAGCCTATAATTTAGAGAGAACTTGTTAGGGAAGACGAGAGAGGCAGAGAATCCATGTTCACTTAGCCTAGTTTGCTTTGATATGGGGCTTCAGTACGGCAGCACACAGATGTACATATTGAACTGCATTCATCCTAGAGCCACCTGTCCACACCTAACACAGCAGTCAAAAGAGGACCCCGATTGGGGAAGGGTGGAGAATACAGTGGGTAGAGACAGCCAACACACTCAACAATATCTTCATGGTTGATTTTGATAAATCAAAATGACACACTGTCCTGTGATTCTTAAGTGTTAGAAAGATTTAACGATGTAGGGAATGCTTGTCATATTCTAGACAAAATCAGCAGGTCAAAAGAATAGTCTATATTAAGGGACACCAACCTTTCAAAGCGAAAGAAAGAAAAAGGCAAGCCTAAATTTTGCAGCAGATTTTTGGGGAGACAACGACTTAAAGTATATGTATATACGTAAAACACATACTGGAACACACACATACTGATCTCTCAGGATGGTAGGTATGGGTTTGTTGTGTTTTGTTTTTATGTCATTTAAAAATTTCCAAAAGGAACATAAAACAAAATCATAGCAATGATTATAATAATGAAATAAAAGCATCTATGAATTTTAACATGGGAAGGACTTTACATATTAATATACAGACCAACTCTTACGTAAAATTGTAAAGATGCAACATCTAAAAAAATTTTTGCTTTCACTAGAAAGGACCTAGGAAATAATTTTACTTGTTTTGTAATCGGCCAAATGGAAAATGGGTCACACCTACACATACAAAAAGGACAAGTCACTTGCCAAAGTCACAAAGGTACTGAAGTCCCAGCAAGGTGGGCTATAAAGAGCAGGCTCTGGGGCAGGGTAATCAGCAATCAGAAGGGTTCTTGACATACGGCATCTCAAATGTCCTGAACAGGAGCCCAGGTGGCATAATGGTTATGAATTGGGCTGTAAAACAAAGTCAGTAGTCCGGAACTACCTTCCAGTCCCATGGGAGAAAGACAGGGCTTTTTACACCCGTAAAGAGTTACAGCCTCCAAAACTCACAGGGGCAGTTCGACCCTGTCCCATAGGTTATATGAGTCCTATAGGTTGTATGAGTCCTATAGGTTGTATGAGTCCTATAGGTTGTATTGACACAATGGCAGTGAGTTTGGTTTGTTTTTAAAGGTCCTTAAAACTCCTGAGAGGTGATGGCTTTTCAATCAAAATTGTTGTAAAAAGTGTTTTTTTCCTCCCCCAAACATTAATGTAGGGCTTTATTCAGCACTTATTGGTAATGTTTAGTTACAGGGAAAATGTATAATTATTTGTAGTATGTCTTTCAATGGCACTATTATGGAAAAACAAAATATGTATTCTAATAAGGTTGTATTTTATATCTAAATGGTTCTGTTCTAGATCTCAGTCCACCCAGACCAAGGCATGTTCTCTTGGGTGGGGGCTGGGGGGGCGGCAGGGCCCTGTGGAGGGGAAACAAAAGCGCATCTTTCCTTGGGCCTGGTGGACCTAGACAGCAGGGCCAATCCGCTGAGTGAGTTGTTCGCCCTGGTGGGGAGCCTCATTCCTTCCGACCTGCATCCGCATGGCAGTCTGGTGTGCGCAAGGCACGGGGCCTCTGAGGAAACCCCACTGGCAGTTAACATTTCGTGAGAACTCGACTCTGGTGGTTGAGGAGATGAAATCTCAGAATCATCTGCATGCCAGAAACGTACCACCCGCGGTTTCTTTCCACCAGAGAGTGCCAGTCCATCTTTGATTTTGGTTCTTGTCATTTCATTTAAATCATGTGCCTTTTCTTGTTTTAGACTAAACTTGTTTTCTTGTGGAAGACCTGGTGGTTCAAGTGTGCCACATGATAGCAGGGAGACAGGGAAAGCGTTACTTACCCCGATCTTTTGGGGTGATCGAAGCGGCTCTTTCTTGACAAGTCTAATATAAAAAGCGGCCGGAAGGATAAAAATCAGCATCGTGGCAGAAGAAGCCCCTGAGAAGAGAAACACAGGCCATTGTCCTAGGTATCAAAGCAGGTGAGCAAGGAGGGGCCTTAAAGGAACCGAGTGGATAGCTACCCAAGTCTTTCCAGCACAGAAAGCACACCTTTAAATCTCATAAGCTTATGTTGGCTGCTCACCCCAAGAAGATAGATTTACATATTTTTAAAAAATTAAAAGGAGCTCTGGTGGCATTGTTGGGTAAGCATTGGATTGCTAACTGCAGGTTGGCAGTTCAAACTCACCAGCCACTCCATGAGAGAACTAGGAGGCAATGTATTCCCTACAGCTTTGCAGTCTTGGAAACCCTGTCTGAAGTCACTGTGCGTTGGAATAGACTCTACAGCAGTGGGTTTGGTTGGTTTTGGTTAACACGAGAGCTGCAGGATAAATACGCACAACACATCATAAACAATAAAATGGTTGAATTTAATAAAAACAATCATCTACAGGGTGTTACAGGTAGAGGTGCTGGAGAGGAAAGGCCTGAAGGCCTATTTCCAAAGGCCATCGCCATTCAAAGCACCAGTTCTGCTCTGAACCTCAGGGGGTCGCCATGAGTCAAAATAGACTGGGCACCCATTGGTAATGGTAGTTACATAAACACAGACTCCGGAGCCTGAAGTAACCACATACAGTTAGTATCCACCACCGACTTTTCAAGTTGCCAACACCTGATATTTGCAAGCTTAGATTGTTCTTAAAATTTGAGTAACCATTCTAATAGGATGAAAAATTAAATATGTCAGCAGGTCATCCAGTTAAGGGAACTGTACGCTTTAACAAAAATCAACCTCCTCCTCTGGAGAAACCCTTGGGTGCTCAGCTGACTTGAGAGAGGCTCCTGTAGGTACAAACCTACTTTCTGACCCTTGAGGAGAAGAAGCCTAGACCACGCCCAGTCTCCGGATCCACCACAAGGCATGGGACCTCTGCTGAGGAAGCTCTGCTGGGACAGTGGTTTCAAGTTGGCCTGTAATCCTCAAGGTCAGCAGTTGGAAACCACCAGACACTCCATGGATGGGGCTTACTCCTCCCTTGACAAGTGATCGTCTCAGAAACTCACAAGGGCAGTTCTACCCTGCTCTATAGCGTCTCTAGAAGTCGGAATCCACTAGACGGCAGTGAGTTGGAGTTCTGGATCTGGGGCTTAGTTTCCTCTTCTGTCAGAAAACCTACGTGGCACGACTTATACATGACTAGTAGTTTCTGGTGCTAACACCTGCTGATCTTGCCAATGAATAACTTCTTATGTCTCTTAGAAGGGAGGAGACTCAGGACTGATGCCAGGGGGAGCTAACGAGAATCTCCTGCATCCGCTGCTCATGCCACGGGGGCACAGAATGTTATGTGTTGGCTGCGCACCGCCAAAATAAGGCTTTCTGTTCTCATCAAGATTTATAGCCGCTGAAGCCCACAGGGACAGTTCTACCTTGTCCTGTGGGGTCACTATGAGTCAAAAGCCACACCAGAGGGGTGAGCATTTGCGAAGCTTGAGCTGAGTTGCGTAATGAAGGTCGCGACTTCAAACCCACATGCCACCAGACGACACTGGAGAACGATGAAGTTATCTGCTTTGGTGGAGACTCCGGGATTGGAAAAGCCCGCGTCAGGTTGTTCTGAGTGAAAATGATGGTGGTGAGCTTATCTGGATTCGATCCAAGCCTCTCTGAAACTCACCGATGAATCCGAAGATGTACTTGATTGTCGGTACCAGTATGACCAGGACATTATTAAGAGCTATAATTATGGCTGCAATCAAGAAATGTCTTATCCAGCTGAAGGGTCTGTTGGGGAATAGCAGGGTGATCACCGATGTACGGATCTGCAACGAGAAGATGCAGAGGCGAGGTCATTCCTTGGCTCTTTAGACTTGACTTTTTCTGTCAAAGAATCTCATCACTAAGTATTTTCCCCACCCACCCCCATCCCCGAGAAGGTTCTCATGCTTTTGGCGTTGTTTGCTTTTAAGAGTTTTTAAGAGTTGACGTTTGAGGGAGCGTGTCTGCCATTTTCCTTGGGTCATACATCTTGTACTGATTTTAATATATTTTTGGACTGATTTTCAGCTTTCATAATTTTGGGTTGCAAAGAATCTCAGTCAGTAAAAGATAAGACATCTGAATAAAAGGTCTAATGTCACTTGAAGCCCCATAAAACCCTTGTTGATTTCTAGTTGTATCTCCTGGCTAGATGAAGTATTGAGGGCAAAATGGAATTGATTTACATGCTTTGTGAAGAGAATTTTTACAGGTTTTCCTTAATTTTGCATTTTATGTTACCTGGTATTTAAAAATAGATGTGACCCTTTTCTCTGTGTGATCATAAAAATAGATGTGATCCTTTCTGTGTGTGTTCACTTTTCTCCCTTTTGCTCCCCCCACTCGATAGCAGATTATAAATCCACAAACGGGCAGGGCCAGGGCCTAGTCATCTCAGTACTCCTCAGCAAGTCTCCTTTAGAGCGGCCTGCACAGAGCAGACTCTCACTCAACACTGGATCTGATTGAACAGCAGTCCTATCTTCTTGGATTCTTGACAGATTCCATCCAAATTCCTGCAGCCGAACTAAGTAGGCAAAAGGTCAAGGGCAGCCAATTTGCATCAGCTGCTCACCGTCCTCTCTGGTGTCCAGGAGGGGCCCTTGTGGGTAGAGGGGAGAATGCTGCTTCGATTAGAACAGCTGAACAAAGCTGCAGTCACTCTTGTCTGATGAATCTTTGAGAGAACACTGGCTTTCCCATGCGCACTGTTTAACCCAAGCACTTCAGTTCCAGGCAGGGCCACCTTTTTAGAAAGGCTGGGCTTGATTTACACTAGAAGCTTTGAGTTCTGAAGTCCCTTACTAGTGGGGTGATGGGAACTCGCTTAACAAAGAGAAAACGTACATTATATTTTGACACACAGATTATCATCGGACCAAAAAAATAAAAAGCTGAATGACATGCAGTTTCTAATGTGGCATGCTTTTCATACCACTCCACCAGGAAAGAAAGAAAGGAAGGGAGGGAGGGAGGGAGAGAAAGAGAGAGAGAGAGAGAGAG